TAATGGATACAGGTGGCTAAAAAGAGATTCTGTGATGGTTGTGTGTGCTGCTTGGATATGGAATAAGTACAATATTCCTAAGCACTCGTTTATCTCCTGGTTGGCTATTATAAACAGGTTAAGAACAAGAGAAAGACTCCAAAAATTTAATGCTTGTGATACAACAGACTGTCTTTTATGTGGTGAACACAGTGAAGACCAGAAACATCTTTTCTTCAAGTGTTCTTATAGCAGGAAGTGCATGCGGATTGTCAGTCAATGGTTACATATAAATGAGACCTTTTTCGATATTAAAGCTTCATGGAAGCATTGGAGAAGGGCTAATAAAGATCCTATTAAACAGAAGATAGCTCTTGCTACTTTGTCTTCTCTGGTTTATGGAATTTGAGCTGCAAGGAACTTTGTTATTTGGAATAAAGCTGTGATCATGCCTAATAGATTATGCACCAACTTATGTGTGGAGGTGGTAAATAGAGTCTAGCAGCTTATTAGTAGTAAATGGAATAGGTCTCAATGTAAATGGTTGTATGTAATTAGGAATAGTATACCTAAGTACGTCTTTATTGTTTGTTTGACGGTTTTGCTTGTTTCGTGTTGGAGTGACCCTATTTAGGGTTGTGTAGCTTTGGAGCAAGGGCTTTCCCTCTTTTTGGTAATAAAATTACTTACCAAAAAAAAAAGAAAAAAAAAAGAACTATATAAATGTCAACCACATTCAAGCAAAGCTTTTTGAATCAAATGAAAATCAAATGCATTCCGCGATGCTAATTGAATCATATGAAAGTCAAAGGCATTCAAACAAAGCTTTTAGAATCAAATGAAAATCAAATGCATTCAACAAAACTAAATGAATCAAATGAAAGTCAAACACATTCAAACAAAGCGAATTGAATCAAATGAAAGTAAAACACATTCAAACAAAACTTTGTGAATAAAATGAAAGTCAAATGAATTCGAAAAAGCTAATTGAATCAAGTGAAATTCAAACACATTCAAACAAAGCTAATTGAATCAAGTGAAAGTCAAAAAAATTCAAACAAAGCCTTTTGAATCAAATGATTGTCAAATGCATTCAACAATGCTAATTGAGTCATAAGAAAGTCAAACACGTTCAAACAAAGCTTTTTGAATCAAATGAAAGTCAAATGCATTAAAAAAAGCTAATTGAATCAAGTGAAATTAAAACATATTCAATCAAAGATTTTGGAATCAAATGAAAGTAAAATGCATTCAACAAAGCTAATTGAATCAAATGAAAGTCAATGACATTCTAATAAGCTAATTGAATCAAATGAAAGTCGAACACATTCAAACAAAGCTAATTACATAAAATGAAAGTCACACACATTTAACAAAGGTAATTTCATCAAATTAAAGTCAAACACATTCAAACAAAGCTAATTGACTCAAATGAAAGTTAAACATATTCAAACAAAGCTTTTTGAATCAAATGAAAGTTAAATGCATTCAAAAAAGCTAATCAAATCATGTGAAAGTTAACCACATTCAAACAAAGCTAATTGAATCAAATGAAAGTCAAACACATTTAAACAAAGCTTTTTGAATCAATTTAAAGTCAAATGCATTAAAAAAAAAAGCTTATTGAATCAAGTGAAAGTGGTGGCTGTTTTGTTTGTTTTGGAGGATGTTTGGCCTTTGTAGGCTTGTGTAGTTTGGTGTGAGGGCTTGCCCTCTTTTTATTAATACAATCTTACTTTCCAAAAAAAAGGAATCAAGTGAAAGTCAAACACATTCAAACAAAGCTTTTTGAATCAAAATGAAAGTTAAATGCATTCAACAAAGCTGATTAAATTAAATGAAAGTCAAAGACATTCTAACAAAACTAATTGAATCAAATTATATTCATACTCATTCAAAGAAAGCTAATTGAATCAAAAAGAAAGTCAAACACATTCAAACAAACCTTTCTGAATCAATTGAAAGTCAAACGCATTCAAAAAGGTTTATTGAATCAAGGGACAGTCAACAAGAAAAGACTTATGTACCTTGGAATCCCCCTAAACTCAAAATATTTGAAGGTCACTGATTTTGATGTTCTCATTGATAAAATGTTGAATAGACTTATTTGCTAGTCAAGTAGAAATCTCTCATATTCAGCAAGAGTTGTCCTTATAAATTTAGTGCTAACAAGCCTTCATTCTTACTGGGCTCAGTGTGTGCTTCTACCTAAGACTATTATTCATAGGATTAATCAATTGTGTAGGGCCTTCTTATGGGGTGGGTCTGCTGTTTTGTCTAAGGCTCCCCCTCTGACCTGGGCTTGGGTCTGTAAACCTAAGAAGGTTGGTGGTTTAGGAATTAGAGATTGTGAAGCTTGGAACAAGGCTGCTCTTGGTAAGTATGTTTGGCAAGTTGCAAAGAAGAAAGATTCTCTTTGGGTAAAATGGGTGCATGCTGTGTATGTGCATAGCCAAGATTGGTGGTCCTATTCTCCAAAGAAGGCTGATGGCTGGGCTTGGAAGAAGATCTGTAGAATCAAAGATGAGTTTAAAGAGGGTTTCATGTCTGAAATTGGATAGAAAGGCGCTACTCTATTGCTACTGTGTACTCGTGGTTGCTTGGTGATGGTGAGAAGGTTTGTTGGACTGATTGGGTGTGGAATAGATATAATATTCCTAAGGTTGCTTTAATAACTTGGTTGACTATTTTAAACAAGCTCAAAACCAGGGATATGTTGTTCAAGCATGGAATTTGTGAGTCTGCTATGTGTTTGCTGTGTGCTTAGTGCATTGAAAATCAACATCTGTTTTTTGAGTGTGGTTATAGTAGGAAATGCATGATGTTGATCAGTAATTTGTTAGGGGTTAATGAAACTCATTTTAATATAAACAGCTCTTGGAAGCAATGGAAAAGGGTTCTTAAAGATCCAATTCAGAGAAGAATTGGCTTTGCTAGCCTTGCTGCGTTAGTGTACCTGTGGTCTGCTAGGAACTCTGCTCTCTGGACCAGTGCTATTCCTTTGCTAGATAAGCTTTGTCATAATCTGTGTTCAGCTGTGGTTGAACGTTCTCAACAGCTTATAGGGTGTAATTGGAAAAGACAACACTGCAAATGGTTGATGGGTTTGAGAAGCAGCATGCCTTAGTTTATCTTGAGATGTGGTCTGCCTTCTGTTTTGCAGTTCTGTTTGATGTGTGCTTTTCCTGTCTGCTATCTATTTTCTTGTTGTGTGGTTTCTTCTCTTTTTTGCAGTCAGTGGCTGGTGGTAGATGATCTCTGAAGCTGGTTGGCGATGCTAGTTATGTTCTGGGCTGACTGTTCTGCTGTGCAGGGACTGGTGCTCAGGTTCTGCTGCAGCGTTTTTTTTTCTGATGCTGTGAAGTAGTCTTTTTTTTGGGATTGTTTTTGGCATTTAGAGTTCCTTCCCTATTTGTTTTAGGATTAGATTAGGCTGTGTTCTGCTGTGTTGCTGAGCTAGTTAGTGTTCTCGAGTTGTTTGACTGTTCATGTTCCTGCTCAGATCTTCTATTTTTCTGTCCCTGTTGGTTTGCTATGTTTGTGTTTCTGTGACCCTGGGACTGGTCTGCTGTGGTTCAGATTGCTATGATGTTGTTTGCGTTTGGTCTGCTTAGTTTTTCAGTTGCGGTTTTGCTGAATTGCTTTGCTATGATGCTGTGTTGCTAAGTGCTAGGTTTTATAGGCTGATCCTTGTAGCTTTCTGCGCAGCTGGTGCTTTCTTACTGTTATCCTTCAAGGGCCTGTTGGTGCCTGCTCGCCACTGGTTAGGCTGCTGTTTTGGGTGCTGTGCAGTAGTGGTGTGGTTTGGTGTTGCTGTTTTGGTGGGCTGCTAGGTTGTTTTTTTTTGTTTTTGTGTTATGCTGTGTTTTTGCTAGCTGTGTGTAGGTGCTGTTTTGGCCCCTGTGTTTTTGGGCTTGCTGTTTTTTGGTTTTGTTTTCCGTAGTTTTGGCTTTGTGTTAGGTGTTTGTCCTGGTCCATGTATTAAGTACCCTTCCTAGAAGATGCCTTTCTACTCGAGACCGGGTTTGGTTTTTTTTCCCCCTTTCTGTTTGAGGCACCCTTCCTAGAAGGTGGTCTCTTTCAATGTGGGGTTGATCTAGGTGTGTGGTTGCCTTCGGGTGGGTGTAGTTTTGGAGTTACAACTCGGTTTTATTGTAAGTTGTATCTTGTTCTTCCTTTGGTAACAAAATTTTTCTTATTTACTAAAAAGAAAAGAATAAAGTGACAGTCAAACACATTCAAACAAAGTTTTTTGAATCAAATGAGAATCAAAAGCATTCAACAAAGCTAGTTAAATCAAATGAAAGTAAAACATATTCAAACAAAACTTTTTGAATCAAATAAAAGTCAAATGCATTTGAAAAAGCTAATTGAATCAAGTGAAAGTCAAACACATTCAAACAAAGCTTTTTGAATCAAATGAAAATCAAATGCATTTAACAAAGCTAATTGAATCAAGTGAAAGTCTAACACATTTAAACAAAGCTAGTTGCATCAAATGAAAGTCAAACACGTTCAAACAAAGCTTTCTGAATCAAATAAAAGTCCAATGCGTTGGAAAAAGCTAATTGAATCACGTGAAAGTCAAACACATTCAAACAAAGCTTTTTGAATCAAATGAAAATCAAATGCATTCAACAAAGCTAATTGAATCAAGTGAAAGTCTAACACATTTAAACAAAGCTAGTTGCATCAAATGAAAGTCAAACATGTTCAAACAAAGCTTTGTGAATCAAATAAAAATCAAATGCGTTGGAAAAAGCTAATTGAATCAAGTGAATTTCATACACATTCAAACAAAGCGAATTGAATCAAAAAGAAAGTCAAAAACATTCAAACAAAGCGTTTTTAATCAACTGCAAGTCAAATGCATTCAAAAAAGTTAATTAAATTAAGTGAAAGTCAAACACATTAAAACAAAACTTTTAGAATCAAATAAAAGTCAAATGCATTCAACAAAGCTTATTAAATCAAATGAAAGTCAAGGACATTCTAACAAAGCTAATTTAGTCAAATGAAAGTCAACCACATTCTAACAAAGATTCGAGTTGCTTCTTGGCAAAGTGGGAACCTCCATCACTAATTAGCACCCTAGGAACCCCAAACCGTGGAAAGATGATTTTCTTAGGAAGCTTAAGCACGACCTTATGATCATCGGTAGGGGAAGGTATGGCTTCAATCCACTTAGTCACATAGTCAACCGCTACCAAGATGTATAAATTCCCACATGAGGAGACAAAAGGCCCCATAAAGTCGACACCCCAAACATCAAAAGGCTTAACTTCCAAAATGTTTTGTTGAGGCATTTCATCTCTTTTGGTTATGCCACCACTTCTTTGGCACTTGTCGTATCTTGAAACAAACTTGTGAGCATCCTTATTCATCGTTGACCACTATAGGAGAGATTAGGAAATCTTTGCTACCGTCTTATCTACTCCCCCATGTCCTCCACATGGCAACAAGTGGCAATGCTCAAGAACTCCTTCAATTTCATGGTCCGGAACACATTTCCGAAAAAGGCCATCTCCACACTTTTTAAACAAATAAGGGTCATTCCAAAAGTACCTCCTCACTTCCTTGAAAAACCTCTTCTTTTGTTGAGAAGAGAACTCCAGGGGAATGACTCCGCAAGCAAGATAGTTGGCTATGTCTGCATACCATGGGCTAGATGTTGAAGCTATAGCCATAAGATTTTCAAATCCTACCTCTTCATTGATTGGTACATCCTCCTTGTTCTCAAAAGGAAGCCTAGACAAATGATCTTCCACATAGTTCTTTGCTCCCTTTTTATCTCTCATCTCTATGTCAAAATCTTGAAGCGAAAGAACCCAACGGATGAGGCGTGGCTTTGCTTCCTTCTTGGTAATAAGATAGCGAACCGCTATATGATCCGTGTACACAATTACTTTGGAGCAAATAAGATAGGACCTAACCATTTCCATGGCAAACACAACCGTAAGAATTTCCTTCTCTGTCGTTGTGTAATGCTTTTGAGCTTCATCAAGAGTTCTACTTGCATAGTAGATGACATGAGATCTTCTTTCTTTCTTTTGCCCAAGCACCGCACCTACTGCAAAATCACTTGCATCGCACATTAGCTCAAAAGGCAAGCTCCAATCCGGAGCTTGCACAACAGGAGAGGAAATGAGAGATTCCTTGAGCTTTTGAAATGCCTCAAGATAAGCCTCATTAAAGCTAAAATCAACATATTTTTTGAGTAATTCGGTCAAAGGTTTGGCGATTGATGAAATTTTTTTGATAAACCTCCGGTAAAAACCGGCATGCCTTAGAAAAGCTCTCACTCTCGTAACTAAAGTAGGAGGGGGCAACTTTGCAATCACCGAAACTTTGGTCGAATCTACCTCAATGCCCTTCTTTGACACTTTATGGCCTAGGACAATACCCTCCTCAACCATAAAGTGGCATTTCTCCAAATTTAAAACTAAACTCGTTTCTTGACACCTTTTCAAAACTTTTTCAAGATTATGAAGACAAGTGTCAAAAGACGAGCCACCAACACTAAAATCATCCATGAAAACCTCAATCTCATTTTCAAGCATCTCGAAAAAAATGGAAGTCATGCATCGTTAGAATGTTGAAGGAGCATTGCATAACCCGAATAGCATTCTTCGGTATGCGAATGTTCCATATGGACATGTGAAAGTGTTTTCTCTTGGTCATTTGGGTGGATAGGGATTTGGAAAAACCCGGAGTACCCATCCAAAAAAACAAAAGAAAGCATGGTGAGAAAGTCTCTCCAACATTTGGTCCATGAAGGGGAGAGGAAAATGGTATTTCCTTGTATTTTTGTTCAACCTCCTATAATCAATACACATTCTCCACCCGGTCACTGTCCGGGTTGAGATTTCCTCTCCTCCTTCTCCCTTGACGATGGTCATTCCACCTTTCTTTGGAACTACGTGAACCAGGCTAACCCACTTGCTATCGGAGATAGCATAAATTATGCCCGCTTCACGCAATTTCAAGATTTCCTTCTTGACAACCTCTTGGAGGTTGGGGTTCAACCTTCTTTGAAGTTCAATTGAGGTGGATTGATCATCCTCAAGATGAATACGATGCATGCACAAAGAGGGGCTAATACCCTTTAAATCGTCAATGCTATACCCTATCACATTTCTATATTTTCTCAACACAACAAGTAATTTTTCCAAATCAAGACCGTCAAGGGTAGCATTGACAATAATAGGGTATTCCCCTTCATTTCCAAGATAATCATACTTCAAAGAGGGGGGAAGGGGTTTGAGTTCTACCTTGAGAGAAGGCTTGTAACTCTCCTCCATTTTCTCCTTTAGTACAAGCTCTTCTTTATCTTCTTGTTGTTCATGGTCTTCTTCCATTTGAGTTTCTTCCATATCCAAGACAAACTCTTTTGCTTCTTGAGAGTGATAATCTTCCTTTCATGTAAGAGCTTCAAACATTGGATCTTGAGGCTTCATCATAACCCTACCCAAGCGATCTGACTCCTCATTCACAACATCAACCCTATAACACTTTTCAACCATGGGGGTCTTGAGTAACTTAGAGAACTCAAAAACAATCTTTTCATCGGCAACCTCACATGTAAGAGCTTCACGACCCAACATCAAAGGAGTATCAACATCTTCCTCCATATCCATCCCTACAAAATCACAAGGCACGTAAATACACCTAACTTGAATAGGAAAATCTTCAAGCTCACCACAAGGTAACTTCACTAAATGGTCGACCAATTGGATACTCTTCCTTGTAGGGATCATCTCAATGTTAAGCTTTTGAGCAATGGATAGAGGAATCAAACTAACACTTGCTCCAAGATCGGCTAAGGTGCCCCTAGCTTCCATGTTCCCAATCTTTACCTGCAAAGTAAAACTTCCCGGATATTTTTTCTTCTTGGGCATCTTATGTTGGATAAGTGCTCTCATTTGATGGAGGAGAGTGATAAGCTCATCATTAAGCTTCCTCTTGTTGGTGAGAATATCTTTTAGGAACTTGGATTATGAAGGCATTTGTGTGACAACTTCGATAAAAGGGAGGTTGATGAGCAAATTCTTCATCACACTAAGGAATTTTGCAAACTTGTCATTCAAATTCTTCTCCGCAAGTCGGCCGGGAAATGGAACCGGCCAATCAAGATTCCTAGCCTCACTAGGAGTTGAAGTTGTCATCTCATTTTTAAACTTCTTTTTCTCCACACTTCCTTCTTTCTCAACAACCTTCTCTTCCTCAACTTTCTTGTCTTCACCCACACTCTCTTCTCTTTCCTTCTTTTCCTCACTAACCCCCTCTTAGGACCTTCATAGGATGTACCCGATCTCAATGTGATTGCCTTGCAAGAGTTAGGTTTTATGATGTTGGATGGGTTAGTTTGTGATTGTCCGGGCAGAGTAGAAGGTGAATTGAAAGGGACTCTCTTGGCCAATTGAGCTAATTGTGAATCAACCATCTTGTTATGAGCCTTGACCTCTTGCATTTGTTGATTCATGGCTTCAAGTTGTTGAAGAATTTGGGTTTGTGTATAATCGGGTTGAGATGCTTGCTCTTGTCTCCTTTGAGACACTTGATTTTGATTGTTGTATTGGTTTTGATTATTATGTTGGTTGTTTCTTGGGTAGTTTCCTCTTGGGTTTTGGTTTTGAAATGGAGGTGGGTTTTGTTATTAAGGGTTAGAGTTGTATGATTGTTGAGGTTGGTGTGCAAATCCGGGGGGTAGTTGCCTCCAAGCTACTCCACCGCCACTTCCCCTATATCCATCTTGCCTTGAGTTGTATGCCGCCACATGCTCGGGGCTCAAACCTCCACAATAATATGTATCATGGTTTGTACCACCACAATTTTGACAAGAGAAAGAATTGACTTGAGAAGAGCTTGCCCCACTATTAACACTCGTATTCAAATTTGCAAGCCCTTTTGTCAAAAGCTCAATTTGATGTTGCAATTGATCAACCTTCTCCAATTCATGCATCCCACCTTTCTTTGGTGCGTTCCTCCTTCTACCACCCAAAGAGTAGTTCTTCACTACCTCTTCAATTGTTGCTTCAACTTGATTTTGGGGGATCTTAATCAATTGTCCACCTGCCCCCGCATCCAAGTTAGCTCTAGACATAGGTTCCAATCCATCATAGAAGAATCGCATGAGCAAGCTTTGATTGTATTCATGGTGAGGACATGCTTGTACCAACTCCTTGAACCTTTCCCAAGCTTCACTAAGACTTTCGTCTGCTGCTTGTTCAAATGATGCAATCTTCCTTCTCATTTCGGCAGTTTTTTCTTCGAAAATGAACCTCTTCAAGAATGCCTTGGCTATCTCTCTCCATGTTGCTAGAGAATTTGGCTTAACTTGTTTAAGCCACTTCTTTGCTCTACCTGAAAGAGATTCTCGAAATAAGTGCATACGGATGTATTCTTGAGAAACTTGATTGGTTTTAATCATGGCACAAAGCTCAAAGAATCTATCAAGGTGCTCATTAGGATCTTCACTTGGAGAACCCGAAAATTGTTCCGCTTGCACCATTCTAGTGTATTGAGGATGAATGGTAAAATTAGTTTCCGTGACGGGTAGAAAAATCCCTCTCGTGAGCTCATAATCCTCCGGTTCCCAAACTCACAAAACAAACATCATCTTCTTATCCCGCCATTGCCTCACTTTGAGAATTCGAAGACCAAGAATCACTCTCACTCTCAACAATAGCACCAAGACCTCGCCCCTCTTCTTGATAAAGCCTACGGACTTGTCTCAAAGTGCGGTCGATCTCATGGTTAATGTAATGTGTAGGTGGTCCTTGAGATCTCCTTAGCATCCACCGAAGCTAAGAAAACGATTAGCAATGACTAGCAAGAGAGTAAAGGAACAAAATAAATAGCAACAAGTCCAATAACAACACAATAAGAGTGCAAAACTAGTCGTTTCCCCGGCAACGACGCCAAAAATTTGATCGGCGGACAATAGGCCGTGTCAACTATCCTAAATCAAATCAACAATTTATATTCCTAACCTAACTCTATCAAGTTCACACTAGATAGTGGCAATCTAGGGTCGAACCACAAGGAAACGGGGTATTGCACAATCAAAGTGGAAGTAAGAATCTATTGCAAGTAACAAGGGGTATTTTGGTTTGCTTTTGTGAATATCTAAGATTAAAATATCTACCAAAAAAGGATTAAAACAAGCAAAATAAGGAGTTGAGCTAGAATAACTAAAATAAAGATGAAAAAACAAGATTGTAAGGGAAATATGATCAAAAACACTAGGGAGAGGGGACTCCAATCATGATCAACTAAGACAACTATGATAATCATCATGGATTCATGCCAAGGAGTACAAACTCTGCTCAAAATAGTTCATTCTCATGCAATCACTCAATGCAAGTTGATGAAATCGATCAAA